TCGTTTTGCCATAAAACCTGCCTCCAGAAGGCATTTGGCTTGTCCATGTTGGCAGATGCCAATTTTAGTTTTTGAAGCAGGGTTTTCTCACCCATGGTGATGTAAAACTGGCTTCACTGTGGATAGTGACACTGGTGACACAGTTTCCTGTTCATGGCAGGCTTGAGCCTTTGTGGTTCCTGGGTTATTTCTGAACATCCTAACCTATTTCATCTGAGGGTGACAGTTTGGGTCTTCTTTCACACCTTGGCAAAGTGGTGACACTTTTTACTCTATACTTAGATAGCATTGTTTGATCTGATTAACTTGAAATCTGAGGTTGTTTAGAAATGGCTTTAACAGACCTCAACTTGTCAATCCAGTGAATTCCGTCAGAGAAATCATTTTTAAGCTAGAAAACAGAAATTGCTTGTTATAGTCAATCATGATCACCAACGAGAAGTTGATAGGCCTTTACCTTCTCAAGTTAAGACGTTCAGCACCACTTATTAAACGATGATTGCGTATGTATATATTTGCCTTGTGTGGACTCGAGATTCAAACTTCAATTCAAACTTGTGCACCCAATTCTTGTATTTGCAGTCATTAATAATGTATGCTGCTCAATAATTACACCCTGGAAAAAGAAATTGCTAAGTGCTAAGAAATCATTACAAACCCAAAATGATTATGACATGCTTTCCCATGATAAGTGGATCTCAACTTCTGACTACAACTCTATTTCCCCCCCCTTAAATATAACAGAGAAGTAATGTAATGAGGAACAAATCCCTTTTTAGTTTCTAGTGGTTGTTTATGTTTTATGAAGTCAGGTAAATTTTTGTGGGATGAAAACACTTTTCTAGAAAGGAAACCTTATTCCAGATGACTACTAGAGTAATACAAACTGAATGCATATACTTAGAAGTGCTTACATTTGCTTTCAAGTGTAAAACAGTAGACAGTACTTGACTTAACTCCTTTTTTATTTCAGGTGTTTTTGGTGTGGTGTCAGCCCTCGTTGGAAGTGGAGCGGCAGGTTTTGTGTTCGGAGAAGCTGCATTATTTGCAGTTGAACCCACTTTGATTGAAGATGGCCTCCTGCTTAACGCTGCAACTCTGGCTGCTGGACGGGCCGGTTCCACTGGTGTTGCAGTAGTGACGGCATGCCTCGTGTTCACCTCGGTACTCTTATGTCTTGGAAGTGGTTTCCTCCTCGCTGCCATGGTGATGACACTGTTGAGTAAAGTTGGAGTGAGACTGCCCTGGTTAGCAGAGGCCACAACAGGAGCCTCTGTTGTGGTGGGTGCTGTCACTACTGGATTGTTAGCGGGCGTCCTTCCACCGTGGCTCTACATTGTGGTGCAAGGTGCTCTGGTCCTTTTCGTCTACTCGTATTCCAACATTAACGACATGACCACAGCTCTGTTGATCATCTTCACCACTCTATACCTCAGTGTAGTGTATGGACAGTTGGGAGCCTTTTTTGGACTTATTAGCATGATTCTGACTATCGTTGTCCTCTTTGTCCTTCGAAGGCTACTAACAGTCCGTGTCCCTCGAAGACCCAAATCTAAAACTGGGTGCAAACTGCTGGAGAGAATATTCTTCTACTCTGTTTTTGTGGGGATTCTGGGATTTTTTGTGGGTTTAGGGGCAGGTGAAGCAGTAGACGGGTCAAAAGAAGAGGTGGTTGTGATGCTGCAGTCAGTCCTCTGGGTGGCCTATCTGTCTGCGGCGCTGCTTGGAGCTGGCCTGGGAACTGTGGCCATGGTCGGACTGGGTCCAGAGGTGGCTGGAAAGGTCGCTTTGGGAGTTGCTATAATGACATCAGTGGCTTTGAGAGCCATTCTGCAGTGGAGCTCCTCTCTAGGGGCCCGAGGCAGCACAGCAGGGACGCTAGGGGCGGCCACAGCTGCAGGGGTCTCACTTGGAGCCGCGAGTGTTGCAGCAAGACGGGCATTTCAGTCAAGGAATTCAACTTTAGCAGTTTTAGGTTCGGTCATCGTCGGTGCAGTTGTGGCAGCAGAATGCCAGTTACTTAAAGCAAGTCCGTTCACCGCATCAGAACTTGTAACAATCACCCTTGTTGCGGTAGGGGCATTTGTTCTGGGTGCACCAAAGAGCCCGTTCCACACTGAGGTGAATCTGCAAAAGGGCCTCCTCACGGGGCCTGTGCTAATAAAAGAAATCGGCATGGAAACGGTCACCGCAGCAGCAGCACCTATTGGAGCCGGGGCACTTGGGGCTGCAGCGCTGGGCACTGCGGCTCTGGGGAAACTGGGGACTGTGGGAGTCCTAGCGGCCATAGTGTTGGCTTTGGGGAGCGCTCTAAGCGGCATGATAGGAAAATCACCACCAACCACAAACACTCACAGAGACTGATTGACGCCTAAGTTTACATCTGTCTGTAAATGTTCTTGTGTTGCATTTTTGCAAGTAAAAAACTTGAGGCAAAAACATTAAATGCAGTGTCATAAGGCATGGTGTCTGTTATACAGATAAAATACTCGTGTTTTAATGTGCTGTTGTGGATACCAGTGTTAAATAAAAACATCAGAAAGCTTTCTTTTTTTTTATTTCAGTGACCTTAATCGTTCTCTTTCTTCTTCTTTTTTTCTAAGCTCTTCACAGCATGGCTGCCACATTTCCCAAGACATGACTGCGCGCTGGCAGTTTCTTTGGTTTCGTCTTAGCAACAGTAACAGAGGCACTCAGAGAAGGGGGGGCAGGAGAAAGACAGAAAATGATCAGAAGACGGAAGAGCATCTTAGAACTGATGTGTTTAGGCAGATAAAAGTAACCAGAGTAAAGGTTACAGTAGTCTCTCTGAAAATATTATATTTTGCATTGATATTGATTTAGTAGATCTACAATGATGACAAACGAGACTTCACCTGCCTGGGAACTAGAGGCTCTGAGAATCTCCTCTATCTTAAATGTGTTTTTGTATTTGAAGGCACTAACTCTAAATTAAAAGGTAAGCCACTTTTCATGGTGGGACTGAACTGAAGAATGGAATGGAGTTATTTTCTGATTTAAATGTTTTTGTGTCGTTTGGAAGAGCCTTTAAAAATCATGAAAACTTTGATCATGCGGTCAGCTGCAAAAAGAATCAAACAGTAATGGGGCACGTCACAACTTTTCCGTGGATTTTCACATTAGTGTTGTAACAGTATTCCACTAACCAAGAGGATTAACCTTTAATAAAGAAGCATGTCTCTGAACCGGGTCCGCACAATGGACACGGAGCAGTCTGCAGAGTACTCGGTGGAGTACTCGGCCCAGGTTTCCAGTGATCCGGGCCGTGACGTGGGTCGGAGGCGTGAAGTGACCGTAGTGCAGTCCAGCTGCTGCCGCTGCCTGCCCCGCGCAGTGCGCCTCACCTTTACGCCCGAGTCGTTGGAAAGGCTCTATCAGAACTACTTCCGTCGGCAGAGACAGGAGAACCTGCTAGTGCTGGTGATGTTCGCCGCTCTCTTCAACAGCTTCGTCATCATCATGTGTGCGGTGGTGTACACTGAGGACAAACTGGCGATGGTGGTGGTGGCAGCTGTGGGGCTGGCTGCGGACGTTGCGCTCTACGTGTTGTGCTGGTTGCAGAAACTCCCCGCATCACCTGTGTGGCGCGGAGCAGTGGCCTACATACTGTGGCTGATGGTCACCGTGCATGTTTTGTGTTACATGGGACTAAACTACGAGCGCTTCCCACATGCTAGTGACTCGGTGGGCTGGCAGACTTTCTTCATTTTCTCCTGCTTTCTAACTTTGCCACTGAACCTGGTGGCCCTGCTTCTCCTCTCTGTCCTCTCGTGCGGGATTCACACTCTGGTTTTGGGGATCACGGTGGCTCAGAAGTTTAAGGATGGCGCGCAGGGGGCGATGCTGGTCAGACAGGTAAATGTCTGGTAAACTTACAAGGAATAAAGCAGCTAGAACTTTAAAACGTTTGTAAATGCAAAACAAACAACAACAAAGAAAAGCAGAAAGTGTGATATTAGATGTGTGTACATTTGATTCTAGGGCAGTGGTTCCCATCCAGGACCCAAATTTATGCATTTTGTCAGTTTTTCTTTTTACTAGGCTGCACCAGCCCTTCACCAGGCTGGAGCACTGGTACCCACAGTAAGACCATTACGCAAAAAGTGCAAAATTTAAGGGGCCTCACACTGTTTCAGGGCCTAATACCCAAGTGGAGAGGTGTGACAGGTAAAGTGGGTTTGGATTATGCATAGTAAATAAATTCATAATTCACTGCGTCAAATAAAACCCCTTTGTTTTTTCGATTTTGTGCAGTGTTTTGTTAATGCAAACTAATTTCCTTCCATTCACATTTATTGTCTTTTTGCCACACTTGGTTTTAGGGCCCCAAAGGTAAATATATATAAGTCAGATATAATATTATTTTAAACGCAGTCTCAATTTATAATGAGAGTGCATATGAATACACCATGTGTGATTGCACTACATCCCAAATAATGTGGTTTTGAGCAATTTGGAAACAAAATTGCATCTAAAAGTTAAAAGTCAGTTTCCACAAACTAATCTTTAGATTAGATTCAATTTATTATCACTGAAAAGTACATTACTGAAATAAAAATGAAATTTGGCATCCACTTCAATGTAGAAATAATATAAACATATATACATACAATATATACACACATCATATTCACGCGTTAGGTTTATCTTATATATAAACTAAGATAAATGCTTTGTTTATCCCATATTTGGTAAATTCATTTCAGCAGTTGAGATGATGATGAGATTATAATAATATTTATAAATATACTGTTTATTATAATGCATATTATTATTGTCCACACAAACACTTTTGTGGCACTTTTCTCCTCTTTTTCAGTTGCTAGCCAACGTGATGCTGTACCTGTGTGCCATCATAGTGGGTGTGATGTCGTACTACATGGCAGACAGGAAGTACAGGACAGCATTTTTGGAAGCTCGTCAGTCACTGGAGGTGAAACTAACACTGGAGGAGCAAAGCACTCAGCAGGTATATTACCCATACCCATATCCACATTTTCTCTGGTGAGTGAACACATTTTCTTATTTTTGGCCAAACAAATGCACAAGTACACAAATAGAAGGGTGAGATGTGACACGCTGATTAATTACAGGATGTTTTGCTCAGCTCAGGACTAATAGGTTGTTAGAGAGGCGGTTGTTTTCACCAGCGCAGCCACCGTCAGGGACCTGACACAATAAGGTCCCTTTAGCACTTTGCCAGCCAACAGAGGCAATACAGAGAATGAGGACATGTTTCCCAATGAAGCATTTTAAAAAGGAATTATGTTTTTACACTTTTTATTATATGTTAGCCTGTTTATTACTTCTTCATTTTTAACCAAACCTCAAGCTGCATTCAGGTCACCATTTTGCTGTAAATCCTTTAAGCTTGCTGTTTTTTGTGTTCCTTACAGCCACTATGCCACGCTTTACCTTCTGTGGCATCAATATTAATCTGTTATGAAGGCTTATCTCAGCTAGAAGAGGTGTTAAATTAAAGAAACGGCGGTAACGTATCTAACAGCAATCGCAAATTGCGAAAAAACTGGCAATTGCTCACCATCATCACAGATTGAAAGATGATACAAATGTGCAGTTATTGTCACCAAGCATTTAATTCTTCCCTTTAAGACACTGTCACGCCTGCCTGTGACTATTTGCAAAACAAAGACAGCAGACTCTTGAGAGTTGTTTGAAAAAGGGGCGGAAAAGATGGTGAAAAGCGAGGGACGTGCGGATACGGATGGGGAGGCAAAAAGACAAAGGAAGAGACAGAGGAGAGATAGTATTCCCACCGTGCCTTTTCAGTGGGAGACTGGGTCAAAGATGGAAAACAACCAGCCAGTTAGGATATATCTGTCCACTTGACGGGATTCTTGAGAGCTAAGAGGAAAATAAAATGTAAATTTGTACACTTTCTGTACGCGTACAGAAATAGGGATGACTTTTCTTTTCCTATTTCTCACATCTCGTACCTTCTTTCAAATCTTGCTCTATGTAGGAGGAACTATTACTGTCCATCCTGCCCAAACACATTGCTGATGAGATGCTGCAGGGCATGAAGAACCAGGCAAATCAGAACGAAGTCCGGCAGCAGCAGCAGTTCAACACCATGTACATGTACCGCCATGAAAACGTTAGGTCTGGATCACTAAAAAAAAATGTCTTTTGAATTTTATCAAACATCTGTTTCACAATATTTTTTGCAATAGGAAAGTGTTACATTATTTTTAATCATCCACTTTTATTGCAGCATCCTGTTTGCAGACATTGTGGGCTTCACCCAGTTGTCCTCAGCCTGCAGCGCCCAGGAGCTTGTAAAGCTGCTCAATGAACTGTTTGCTCGCTTTGATAAACTGGCAGCAGTGAGTATCAGAGTAGTTTCAACTGTTTTTTCCTGTGAGATATATGTACTCATAAGACACTTTATTAGGTACACATAGATTCAACACGGTGCTGGAACATTCCTCAGAGACTTTTTGTCATACTGACATGATAACATCACACAGTTGATCCACATTTGTCAGCTGCAAATCTTCAGTTCTGCCTCATCCAAAAGGTGCTCGTGACCGTGGAGACCAGTTGAGTACAGTGAACTCATTGGCATGTTCAAAAAGCCAGTTTGAGATGGTTTGAGCATTGTGACATTCCTAGAAGCACCATTAGAAGATGGGTACACTGTGGTTATAGAGGGATGGACATGGTCAGTAACAATACTCTAGTGGGCTGTGGAGTTTAAAGAATGCTAAATTAGTAGTAAGGGCACAAAGATTGGCAAGAAAATGTCCTCCATACCATTACACTAACAATACAAGGATGCATACATTGGATGCATACGTTCATGTTATTTAAACCAAATCCTGACCCTACCAGCCCTATGTTACAGCAGAAATTAAGACTCATTACATTAGGCAACAACTTCTCAGTCTTTTTGTTGAGCCTATGCTAATTGTACCCTCAGCTTCCTCTGCTTAGCTGACAGCAGTGGCACCCGGTGCGGTGTTCTGCTGCTGTCCAGTTTTCTTCGAGGTTAGATCTGTTGTGCCTCCATAGATGCTCTTCTGCATACCTTGTTTGTAAAGATTTGGTTATCTGCGTTACTATTGCCTTTCTATTAGCTTGAAACAATGTATCGTTTGTCATCTGATATCTAAAACTAACAAGGCATTTTTGTCCAGAGAACTGCTGCTCAGTGGATATTTTTCTTTTTTTCCTCTGTAAACTCTAAAGATGGTGGGAAAATCCCAGTAGATAAGCGGTTTCTGAAATACTCAGACCAGCCTGTCTGACACCAGCAACCATGCCACCTTCAGTGTCACTTAAATCAAACTTTTCCTGCATGCTGATGCTCCATTTGAACCTATGTATTAACAAGCAGTTGAACACCTGTGCCTAATAAAGTTGTCAGTGAGTCTATTGTTAAGATATATTACTACTGGATATTTCTGAATTATTGTTGGTAGAAATGTAACAAAATTCTATGCCAGCTTGACTTGGTGTAACAACCTCATTAATAACTTATTCTCTAGCCTCCATTGTAGTTAGCACCCAGTTTCTGCTTAGCTGGAATGCTACTCTGCTACATGTGAACAGACAGACTCTGTAAAGCTAGTAGCCACCATGACACCACCCATTGGTTTTAGACATTTTAAAACCTTAACATTAATGTTTTGACTGCCACCATGTTGGTTTGGAAATGGGTATATGCTGAGTCATCAGCAAGGGCTAACAAGTTTGGTTAGCAGGCTACATCCATAAACTATAGAGCAGATACAGATATATGCTAATTACTGCTAACTAAGTAACAGGCTTATAAAATATGAAAAATATGCTCACCAAAACTGAAGCACAAACCTTTTGGGTGATTTGTACAACACAAGAAGTAATATTATTTGTCAGATAATTCCTCGAAAATGCTATACACAGTGTGTAGAGGTCCAGTTAATAGCAGATAGTCATCAGCTACAGCTCTGTGTGTGCACACCTGTCAATTGAAGCAGACTCACCCCTTACTTAAAGTCTTAGCGGTTCTCAAAGTTATAAACTAACCGACCACTGCATATTGTGAATTAGAACTCAAGCCACTCTGCCAGACAAAGGGATGAGATGACACAATTTCTTGATTTCTACAAACATCTTTTTTCTGAATTATGTTCTGAGAAGTGTTTATGAGACTATAAAATGACATTCTTGGATTGTTTGAGTTATAGTACCAGTACCTTTCTGTTATTGAGGTAAACATCCGTGTCTGATCTCACATTACAGGAACATCATCAGCTGAGGATTAAGATTCTTGGAGACTGTTACTATTGCATCTGTGGTGTTCCTGACTTCAGGGAGGACCATGCCGTATGTTCTATAAAGATGGGCCTGACTATGGTAAAAGCCATCTCGTAAGTAGTGACTTTACTAATTAGGAATAGGGGAGGAAAACACAATAAAAACATTATTATTAAAACATTAGAATTAAAACTGTAAATTAAAAAAAAAAAAGCTTAGACAAAATAATGGAGAAAGGAAATCACCACATAGAGAGAAAAAAAACTAGAGAGGAAAGGCTCAATTAAAAATTTTAAAGCTGCTTAACAATATGAGCAACAGTTAATTTTTCAGTGACCCCCTGATTTCTCTCATGGTCTAGGTACGTTCGAGAAAAGACACAAACCGAGGTTGACATGCGCGTGGGTGTCCACACCGGCACCGTGCTGGGAGGAGTACTCGGGCAGAAACGCTGGCAGTTTGATGTTTGGTCCACAGATGTCACTGTGGCCAATAAAATGGAATCTGGAGGGATTCCTGGGTAGGAAAATTGTGCGCTTCCTTGGTGTCTGTGTAGTGTATGTCTGAGAGCAGTTCATTTTTTTTTCTAAAATTCACAGTTTTGTATGCTATCTAGGAGAGTGCATATTTCCCAGACCACAAAAGACAGTCTGCATGGGGAATTTGAACTGGAGCCGGGGAATGGTGGAGAGAGGTGTGAGTACCTGCTGGAGAAAGGCATTGACACTTACTTAGTTCTAGTTCCGAAGCAGAAAGCCAATGGACTCAATGGAAATGTGAGTGGCTTGTTCCTTTATCCCATACAAAATAAATCAAATCAATTAAATGAACATTTTTTTTTGTTTTTGTTATTGATGTAATATTAACAGATGTCGTATCTGCTTCTCCTCCTCAGACACCTGGTACATTGACCAATAGAAATTCCAAACAGTTGATCAACACCACAGCATCCAATGGGAATGCAGTCTCACAACAGTCCACACCTACTGAGTCTAAAAAGGAGGTGAATTACAGCTGCCGGTCATCATTTCAGTAACCAAAGATTAAAGTGTGTTGTTACTTGTGTATACATGAGTAAGGCCTATCTATATGTTTATAAAAGGTTAATTTTTTTGGTTTTTTTTTTCATTTTTAAAGAGAAAGGTTCACTTGGTAATGTTGTCTGTTTCTGATGCGTTTCTCTTTGCATTACTGGCAACCTTAGATGAGTAACACAGCCGAGGATCAAACCATCAACAGACGACTCCAGCAGGAGCTGCTGGAGAGAGAGACTCAAAAAATGTAAGAAAAAAATAAACCACAAAATTTTAAAAAGTGCAATAAAAGGATTCATTTTAAAGACTAAATCATAGAAATCGGATTCGGTGTTCCAGGAATTGAAAAGAAACAAACTCAGTGAAGTAACCCACATGCATCTCCTCAATTGGTGTCCCATCCCCCCTTTTTAGTATCCTTGTCCTTCAAAATGTTCTTTTCTTCCTGCTAAATCTCACTGCATTTTTGACAGAATGAAGGATCATGAGATCAACCCTGTTTCTCTCCGTTTTGTGGATGGAAAGTTGGAGGACCACTACTCCTCGGAGAAGGAGAGGAGGAGCGGAGCGGCCTTCTCCTGCTGCATGATTGTACTCCTTTTCATCACAGCAATGGAGGTCTTCATAGACCCATTGTGAGTTTATGTATCATGTAGGTGCCACTTTATAGCATGGGTGGCACAGCGGTGCAGCACCATCACCTCCCAGCAGACCTTTGTATGTGGAGTTTGCATGTTCTCCGTGTAACTGTGCCGGTTTCCTCCAGCAGTCCAAACACTTCCATGTTAGGTGAATTGGTGATACTAAATGAGTGTGAGCATGTGTGGTTGTCTGTCTCCCTGTGTTAGCCCTGCTATACACTTGTACTGGGTATACCCCGACTCTCACCCTGTAACAGCTGGGACTGACTCCTTGGCCAATGTATTGTTGTAGTGATAGCACATGAT